CCATATTTATTTGATTGTATCCACTAAACCCATCCATAAAGGAAAACATTTCATGACCAACTGTAGCATCCATTAAAGTATCAATATTTGGTAGAAGAAAATCATCCTTTGGGCATGCCTTGTTCAAATCTCTGAAATCTACACACACCCGAATTGTTCTATTCTTCTTTTTCACAAGAACTACGTTTGCTAGACAAATAGGATAATGTATGGGTTTGATGAATCCAACCTTGATGAGTTTATTAATCTCCTTCTTTATCTAGCTCTCTATCTCATGATGGAATACACAAGCATATTGTTTCACTAGTTTACTTTGTGGAAAAATGTGTAACTCATGAGTAATGAGATTCTCATCTAATCCAAGCATTTGCTCATAAGTCCACGCAAACACATCTTGAAATTTTCTCAACAACTCAATCAACATAACCCTTTGCTCACTAGAAAAACTCTTGTTTATGGAAAGTGGCTTAGTTGTCTCTTCTTATTCTGCCATATTTATTTCTTCCAACTCATCACCTTGAGGCTTAGTTGATCTGGGAGTTGATCTTGCATGGGTAATACTTCCTTTACTTTTTCTTTTTCTACTTTCACTTGAAAACATGATGGTGATGTATCCGGTGGCTTCCAAAATTTGGGATCAGGAAAAGATGTTTCCCCATACCCCTTGTCCCATCATAAGCAATAAACAATTTTTCCATTTTCAAGTGCATAGGAAGTTATCCTATTAGACGTCTTTTCTTCATTTACTTCTCTATATGTTGAAGTGTTTTCCCTTCTTTTCTTCCCACCTCACTTCTTCTTGCCACTATTTTCTACCCTATTCCCCATATACTCTTCCCATCGTTGAAATGGAACATCAATAGGTCTAGCAATAGCTGTTTCTCCATCTTTTGCTAGATCTTCAAAGAAAGAAGCCTCTATATAACTCACCTCATGCTGTTCAAATGAAGCTTTGTTTCCTTCCCTTTCTAATGTCCTTTAATATATTGATGGCGTAAGAAAAGAATGATATTGTGCATGTGTAGGAATTTTTTTCCAATTAAAGCATGATAAGCCACATTTGCATCAATAACATGGAAACATGTCTAATCTTGAATCGACCTCATCTTGAAGTTCACTGTCACTTACCTCAAAGTCATAATCTCCTTGTTATCAAAGGAAGTGATAGCCATAAGATGACATAAACTCTTCAAATCTATATTTACAACTTTCAAAGTGGATAAAGGTATGAGATTCACAAAGGAACCATCATTAATGAATGTTCTCCTAATAGGATATTCATTGATAGTACTTTCCACATAAAGAGGTTTATTATGATAAGGATGAAGTGTACACATGTCTGCCTTTATAAACACAATAGCATTCTGATACATACCAACCATTTTCCCCATAGGTCGTTCTACTAGGTTACACTCCTTATACTTTTCTCCAACTATTTGAACTAGTGATATAGTTGCTTTTTTCCTTGTTTCTTTTGAAAACCCAAGTTGGTCAAAGAAATGCTTGAAACTAAGTGTCTTCATAAGTGAATTAGCAATCGAAGAAGTAACCATAGTAGTTTCACTTGTATCATTGAGCTGGGTGTTTGAAGAAGAAGGGTCATCATGAATTATTGCACTTACTTGCCCTCAAGGATTTGGATAGAGAGGAAAAGGGTTATTCTGGACTTTGTTATTTCCAATCAATACCTCTCTTGCATGCATTCTTCAATGGAACATTCTCTGAAGGTTTTTGCATTCAGAAAGTGGATGACCAACTACTCGATGATAATCATAATATCTTGGATTAGCTTTCTCTTCCACTATTAGTTGTCATTGAGTGTAAGGTAAGCTTATCTGTCCATCCCTAACCCAGTCTTGGAGAAAAGCTCTCACTCTATCCAGAAGTACTAAGAATGGTGAAAAAAAGTCATTCTTCTCATCTGGCCTTCTCCTTAGGACATCTCTTCTAGGGCGTAAATTTGTTCAGATTGGACCCCTACTTTCTCTACCTCCTTTTTGTATGGCATTCACCGTTGAGGTATTCTTTCTACCGAAACAAGTGAGTACTTTTTATCTAAGAACTATATTATTGGTCCTTCGTGCAGCTTCCTTTAGTGTAGTAAATGTTAGAAAAGGTAGATTTTCCAAGTGTAGCTTGTATTCATCAAACATCTCCTAGATGCACACTTTTCCCAACTCCTTCTCATTATGAGATTCTTGTATGTCCAACACTCTTACTCTAAAGCATTGGATATACACCACTAGATCCTCCCTAGACTTTTGAAACTCTCTTCCAAGATCAATGAGAGCAACATTCTCTTAAGTAAAGAAGAACTTTTCCTCAAACATCTTACACATTTGATTCCAAGATTGAATAGAACCAGGAGTGAGGTTAACATACCATTTATAAGCCTTCTTAGTGAAAGACTTGGAGAACTTATTCAAATTCAAGTCATCATCCAATCCTACAACTTTAAGAGTCCCCATAAATTTCATGACATGTTCCCGTGCATCTCCAGTCTTTCCATTGAATTATTTGAATTTGAGGCTAGTATAGTCCTCAGGGTATGGTTTTGCAGCTACACTAACTAGGAAAGGCAACTTGAGATCAAACTCAAAAAAATTCAAGCTCTTGTTTTTTTATTCTAATAGCCTTTAGAGCTCCTCCATTGGCATAAATCCTTAAGTAGGAGCAAATGAGATTACTGTAGTAGAGGTAGTTACTAGGGTAATTGCAGTAGTGGTATTGGTTGGATTAGGGTTTATAGTAACTAATACATCAATTGCACTTTCTCTATTTTCTCTATTCCCTTCAGTGTTTGTAACTAGAGGAGTGACTTCGTCAGGTGCATTCTCATTAAGGTGCACAGGTTAGGCTTGAAAAGTGTTGGTAGTAGAGGATGTGAGTTGAGATATAGTGCCCATCATTTGCCTATTATTGACCTCCAATGTTTATATCTTTTCTTGAAAAGCTTGGATCATTCTCATCAGATCCTGAATGTAAGAAGGAATAGGTGCATCTTGGTTGCTAGTGGAACTCTCCATCTTTTTCAGTAACAAGAAATTGTAGTAGTAAAAGTCTTACTTAATGCAATCACTCTTCCCTGATGGAGTCACCAAAATGTAAATGAGGTTCTTGTGATAAGAAGAGGAAGCGTTGCAAACAAGTACGGGATGTACTAGAAGTGATGGAGAGGAAAATTGAAGCAGTTCTTGTAGTACTGAGTATTGTGGCAGGTGAAAGAGAACAATAAGAGAATAGGTGCTTTAAGTGAGAATAGGCTGGAAAGAGAAGCTTTGTGTGAGAGTCAAGTAGTTCTGAAAGTGAAAAAGAAGTCTTTTTTTTAATTGGGAAGGCTCTATACATAGTGCCAAAAGTAACAATTACAAGAAAATGCTTTAATATACGTAATAAATGATATTATTAAGGAGAGTGTTAATGTTAGGTAACCATTATTGAGAGTTAATGTCGAGTAATGGTTAAAAACTTATTATGTGACTATTGAAGTAATTATATTTAATAAGACTTGTTCTCGAGTAAGAGCTAATAAAGAAAAGCTGTACGTGAACAGGTACAAGAGAAGAAATTGTACGTGAATAGGTACAAGTGAATAAGGTAAAAGTAAGAAACACGTGTACTACAAGAAAATGTTAAGAGAACGACCTCTTAACTACTTCCATATCTGAACCATCAAGCCAAACTCTCCGAAACATCCCCGTATGAAAGTAACCCATGAATCTTGCCACTTATTCTGGATTATTTTCACTATCATTTATGTGAAATTGTTATTCCATGTGAAGTAGTTATTCTACTTGTAATAATGGTAAGACATGGAGTAATGCTTCACTTATTCTAGTTGTTCTGTGTGAAGTAATGCTTAACTTATAATGGCTATTTTTATTATTTTTTATATAATATTACGTGATAAAATAATCCTTTAAAGAATAAGTATTAATTAAAATTGACTATCTACAGTGACAATCTAGCAGATTTGTTCACCGAAGTCATTCCTATTGCAACATTTGAAAAGCTGGTACAAAGATTGGAATGCATCATTTTAAAAAATCTTTATAATGCAGTTATTAAGAGAGTAAAATATGCACTATACTCTTTTCCTTCATCAAGGTTTTTTTCATTGAGTTTTTCTTAATAAAGTTTTCAATGAAGCAGTATTTCAAAAGCTTTATGTACTCTTTTACTTCACTCAGATTTTTTTCTCATGAGGTTTTTTCCTAATAAAGTTTTAAGGAGGCATATTCTTAATACAATGGACATTCAAAGGCGCGTATTATGAACAAATGTGTGAATGCCTATTATATTACGACTTAAGAAGTGCAGATCAAGTCAAACAACCAAACAGGTGAGATACAAGAAATGTAATCTGATTTAAACTCTTAAATAAAATTAGATTAGGATTATGATTCAAGGGATTGTTGCTATATAAATATGCCCTTCATTTCATTAGCAAATGTACTTTTAAATAAGATCTTTTTACTTCTTCTAAATACTTTCTCTTATATTTCTCTTAAAGTTATTCTTTCAGTTATATTTCATAACAAGTATTTTATTATCTTCCTTATTTTAATTTTTTTTCATTCGTTCTAAGTTATTGTATAATTGGTAAAATCATAAATGGATTTTAAAATTAAAAAAATCTCAATCAACAATTAATTTGTGATAAATAACAAAAATATATAAACGCTTAAGTACTAATTTCATATGCTATCTTATATTCCATTTTGTTAACTATATATCAAAGTAAACTCTTAAAATGTTTAATTGATTGTTCTCAATAATAATATAATTAATATGAAACAGAACCCCTTAATGTTATTTACTAATATAAATGTTGTGAGTTATTTTACAGTATACTTATATTAGCATATATATGGTAAGATACATAGAAAAAAGTATAAATGTTTTTTACTTTTTTAATTGTTTCTAAGTATTTAAATGTTTATTTAAATGTTTCTAAGTATTGGATGGCCTGTGTAAAATGTAAAAATGACCAAATCATAGAAAGCAAAATCAACTAGTTTTATTTTATTTTATTTTATTCTCAATATTGAAGCATACAAGGATAATTATCCAGAGCTGCTTTTCATCGTCCAATTGAAGATGTTTTGGTTACAAGGTTGCCAGTGGTCAATCTGCGTGAAGCTATCGACCAGTCAAAGAGCCACCCATGCAATCTCCTGTCTCATTCATTGCCTCTAAAGACCTATCAAGGGATGCTGCAGAGGGGTACAACTTCATTGCGAGGATTGGCTTGCATCATTAAGTGAAAGGGTAGAAATTTGAGAAGAGCAAGCTACCCAGAAGGATGTAGGCGCAACAGTATGCCCATATCATATATCCCCATCTCTTACTCATACTAGGACAAGTCATCAGTAATGAAGCAAACCAATAAACAGAAGGACTCGCTGACAAGAATCGTGTCGCTACCTGTCAACCGTTAAAACATTTAAATGATGTTAAGTTCTAAGCTACCTTTTAACGCGTAAATACTTAGAAACATCTTTGTTTTACATATTTTTAAAAAATATACATAAACTTGGTACTTAGAATTCATTTCTCATAATTTACTTAGGCATGGCTAACCCAAACACATAATAGACTTAAAAGACCTCTAGCAACGGAATGACACAGAAGGTACTATGAGATACCATTACCTACACTATAGTAAAAGAATAACCTCAGAACGAATGCACACAGTCGAGCACTTATTTGCAAAATAGAATAGTGGGGTGAGTCTCACAAATTCAGTGATCATCAACTCAGTAAACAAGGTAAGGACGGAAAACAAGCATGAAAGAAGAACATTTGAATAAAAATCAGAGTAATGACAAATAACTCAATAATCAAACGGGACAACCTTGCAAATATAAAACAATATACGATATAAAAAATTATATCGTAATAAAATCATCTTTATAGTTATAAACAAGTAACATGCACTTTTGAAAACCATTATGTATATATAGCATTAACCCAAATCATATGTTAGCTTAGATAACAAAAATGATGCACCTGGCAAGAACACAATGGTTTTCAAGTGTGTAACTAACTAGAAAATATAAGCTTCTCCGTGTATATAACAACCACTGGCCATATGAAAAAACAATTACATATACCATAACCATACCATAACTGAAATCAAAACCAAGTACGAGAAAACCAATCTCAAGTAGGTCTTAAGCCCATGGGTCCTCTCTCACGCAATATGTATTCCCAAATACGTTAACCCATGACCCTAGCCATATCATAAAAATTTGTGATCTCGCCACATAATATAAACCTAGGTTTTTTGCCCTATGTCGTATGCTTCGAGGCACTTCTCCCTAAATTCAACCTACTATATTAGGGTTCTCCCTTTACATTCAGCTTACTACATCAGGAGTTCTTCCCTTTACATAAATCATGCTAGCTAACGGATGCTTTATGCATAAAGGTCACATAGTTTGATCTAACAGTAGGTCTACCATCGAGTGTCTCACTAATCAAATCATCAATCTCCACGTTCAAACCAAGTTATACCAAGACAATAAGTATCATACCTTTAATTCAAATAATTAATACAACACATTTTACTTACACATGGCATAGAGTTCAAACACCGTGTTGTTTCGTAAGAATAATGCTTCAAAATCTCCATAAAAAATTATATATTTTAAGCATGGTTTAATATCCAAAATCATACAGTCATTTAAAGGATAAAATCAATGTCCCATTTTAAGGTAATTTCTTTAAGCAATTCGTAAAATCCATATCAAAACCATTTATGTGCACAAAAAATCTTATGCAAGACATGATGTAATATCATCATAAAACCCAATTATGTATGTATACACGAAATCATTTTATTGAGACATGATTTGGTATGTGAAAACATGCTTGATCATAGATATAATAAGTTGAAACAATACAATTCATAAATGCATTTATTTGCAATTTCAGCACATCACAATCACAAACATGTAATTTCCCTTTATGCATTTATTGAGTTGGATTATTTCAAATTTATGCAGTTCATAAATGCATTTATATGCAATTTCAACACACCACAATCACAAAAATAACATAAAATGCATATAAGTTTCAACACACCACGATCACAAACATAAACGCATAAATTTATACTATTTTTACAAAATTCGATAATCCAACTCAATTCCAAATAATTGATACTTGTTTGTGCCTAACATGTCAATATTGCATTTTACATTCCAAATCATCATATATATTCTACTTACATTGGTGAGCCAGAAGGACCCAATTAAATCTTTTAATTCCAACACCTTGTTCAAAAATGCAATAGCTAATTCTTCTTTTTTTTTTTTTCTCAACTCCCTAACATATAACATTTCAACCAAATTCATTTCAAACCAACTTGTTATATTCTCTTGTCAGCATTAGAACCATAGTAAATAATTAACACTTAAAACTCAAAGTCTCTTACCTTCATGGCTTAAACCGCTATTACCACAACCTCCAGCAAGCCTTTCAAACCGAACTTTTCGCTTACCGCCGTAAATCAAATTAAAACTTTCAACTGTTTGTTCTTATGTATTTTAAATAAAAAATGAAACCTTTACCTCCTTAACAAATATTTTACCTCTTAATCACTCTTATGAAGCCATTGAACCCTTGTAAGAATGATGGAGTAGTTTGGGTTGTAAGAAAAAAAGGACAAGTTCTTTCTAAAAATGGCAAATTGATGCACAATTTTTTTCTTCATGATTCCCCTTCAACTAAACTTCTTCATTTCTCTTTTCTTCTCCATACTCAAACACTATCAAAACGCCTTAGAAGACCACCCTCAAAGCTCTTAGATTTATCTTGAAGTCAAGTATGGTGGAAACTTGATAAGAGTGAAATAACTTTTCAAGTTACTCAAGGAAAAGAATAGCCAAGTATTTTTACTCTCAAGGGTGGGGTGAATTCCATAAGGTAAAAATTAAGCATTTCTTTTCTGTTTTGCTAATGGTGAATATAACAAGGTATGAAAGCTTTCGTAATAAATTTTCAATTTCTTCTTTTTCTTTCAAACCAAATGCTATGTAACGATTGCACTTTTCCTTTTTGCCACCACCTCCACCCAATGGAAATTCATGCAACATTTCTATTCATTTTATTTTCATTTCATCTTCATTTCATTTTCATTTCATCTCATTTCATTTCATTTGCATTTCGCTTACATTTCAGCTACATTTCACTTACATTTGCAATTTCTCTCATTTTTTTTCCTTGTATGGGCGAATTCCCAAGGATTTCTTCCTTCTTGTTTAATTTTGTCACATCAACGTAATCATTACTCTTTTCTTCCACATCAATTCAAACATCATGCAACAACTTTCCTTGTCTTAAAACCATGTACTAGTTTTCTAAAACTATGGTTTTCCTATTTCACTTGATAAGCTTCTTTACACAACATGACTTTATGCATGTAAGTTTATGGCTTAGTCGCAAGTCCTACTTAGCCATTTGAATTTCAAAGATTACTATGGGTAAAACCACCCATGGTCTCAAACAAATTTTTTCATCAAATCCCTAACGCATGGACAGCCATTACTCCTCCATTTTTCTTCCCATAATGCAAAAAATTCATTAAATAGTCACTCAACTTAAAATGACGAAATTGCACATAGATACTCAAACTTTTCCTCATTTACTATTTAACCCTCCAAACTTTTCATCCTCTATAATTTAGTCTCTTAAACTTTTCATAAATTTCCATTTGGTCCTCCAACATTTCATTAATTATAATTCACCTCTCAATGTTTTTTTTTCTTTTCAATTAAGTCCTTTAACAATTCTTTTAATTTTATAAATCTCCTATTAATCTTCCTTTGCACATGTTTATGCAAAATATCCATTTTGCATATCATCAATTTATCACAATAATATTTAAATATATATATATGCTCATTTACATTTTATTTTATAACGACACGAGCCCCACCAATACTTCATTTTCTTAAATTTTTTTTTTTAACTCTCCCCCACTTTGGCCAAACTTAACTAATTGACACCTCCTTTATAGAAATATGATTAAATTCGACCTTCAACAAAGTAGCATTATTTTAATATTATTTTATTTGAAAATATTTCCCTCATTTTTCTATGCTCCAAAATATCTTATTTGACCTCAATTGACCTTTACATCCCCCTTGAGGTCTTTATTAATTAGCTTACTAGGATATGGGGTGTTACAATAGAAGCTTTTAAGATTTGAGAAAAATTTTATTTTTGAAAACAAAACATAAAAAAGCTTAAAAACAAATTTGTTATTCTACTATGCGTCAATATTGAAATTGTCACTGAACTTCAATTGCATTAAATTTTTCCACCATATTTAATTTTCAGACAAAAGTAATGGAGATGGAATATTTCATTACTGTAGTTAAATTTTAAGAACAATTTCCATAAAATATTCCATCTGTGTTATTTTTTGTTCAAAAATTAAAGTATAACTTAACCTAATTCAATTCAATCAAAGTACAATAACAAAACCCAACATCGATCAATAATATAACAGCAAATTAGGTCTTAATGCCAAAAAAAATGTTGTAAGGAACAAAGTTCAAATTGGCTAAAAGATGCCTTTAACTTCAATAATTCAACTCAACTAAGAGTTGATACGCATGTATTTTGTTTATTGTAATAATAATAAAAGAAAGAAAAACTAAGCACTAAAGGAAGCACTTGATATCATCAGTTGTCCAAATATTGCTTAGCAACTTTGAAGGCAATTGGAAGATCTCCAAGAAAAGCAGGAGATAAAATGGAGAAAAGTTGGTTTTGTTGGGATGAATAGACATAAATGAAATATATATATAAACAAGCTTTTAAGTGCAAATTACACAACCACAACACAAATTGTTTACTCTAAAACTAGCTTTTTCTTGATAAGACATTTTCAAATTAAGTAGTTCAATTTATATAATTATTAAAGAATAATATAATGTATGAAAATACACTAAAACCAAAATGCATAATTCACTATGAATTTAATTAAATCAATCAATTTTGTAAATGACAACATATATCATAGTACTCCAAAGAATAATTTCTTTCACACAACTTCAAAAAATAGAAATACAATTTTCATTCATGTATAATCTAAAACTCAAATAAATCATAAATTAGCTAATTCTCCTGCATTCGAGTAAAATTAAATAAAGTATTTTCATTTTTTTACCAACTTTAAAATTAGCAATACTTTCTCAAGTTTTGTATTTTTATTTTGATAACATTTATTTACTATTTAGATCTTCTCACAATTGTAAAATACATTTGGTAATTTTGAGATGTAGTAAACATGTTTGAAATTTATAGAAAGCATTGCTAATTTTTAAGTTGCTAAAATGGTAAAACTAATAAATAATTAATTCTACTTGAACACAAGAAAATGACCTAATTTAAGAATTATTTGTATTTTAAATTACATATGAATGAAATGCCTTTTTATTTATGTGATATATGTTGTCATTTATAAAATTGAGTTATTTAATTAAAATGTAAAATATATAGTAAAGTATGTTGGTCTTTGTTCTTTCATATATAGTCCCACACTTTCGTAACTATATAAACTAAACTATTTAACTTGAACTAGTTATGGATAAAAATCCTATCAAGAGGAAGCCAAGGTTTAGAGGAAATAAGTTTTCCTGTGCTTGTGTCAATTAATATATATAGGAGGGGCTCACTTGCATCTGTGTAACGATCTTTCCATTACACCCTTTCATATCTCTTTGTACAATTTACATTTTTATAATCCAACCATTATATCCCATGCTCATAGCAATCACACATGTCAAATTTCAAATTAACTGAACCTATTTAACTAAATTTATGGCAATATCAAATTTTAATTGTTAAATATATACTATGAAAGACAATGCCTTCATCCATGTGAGACAGCCATCAAATAAATTTGCAAACCTTACATGCATAAAAAAAAAGTGAATGGATTGTTAAATCCAACAATTGGTTCGTTAAACCACTAGCTACACCAGAAATTTACAAAAAGGTGCAAATTATCAATTGTTACATCAATGAAATTGGACATCTCCCTGCCCCTCTCTCTGTATATACATAGATACATAAGTACGTACATACATTTATATACATACATATATATATATATGTAGGCATACAAACACACACACATAACACCCCTACTTTGTAAAGAATCTATTTCAACTACTTGAAACAGTGCCATGTCTCAATGGAGCAACCTTACTATTGCACCGAAGAAAACATAGACATAAGTAATATTTCCACAGAATTTGGAGAGACAATCAAGCTTTATCAGAGGATTTAAATTAACAGTGTTGAACATGACCTCCTTGTGTCCATTAAGGATTCTAAACAAATATGACAGACCAAAAGTGATTCATTCCAAGTATCACTGATTCACCATGATATTTCAGATATAAGTCCCACCAAAATACTAAACATACCATTGGAGTTTCAACAACAATCTTAGTCCCTAGTGAATCTAAAAGAGGTGGGAAGGGGGAAGGAAAAATTGGAGAAAGAGGTTGATCTAATGCTTACAAAAATGTTACTAAATTTTTGTAAACATATTGTGGTTTTAAGCAGTTTCAAGGAAGCAAGGAAAAAAGAATGAAACTGACCTGGACATGCATGACAAAAAATGCTGTGGCTACCATGAAGCTCAAGTGCAGGATAAATGGGAGAATAGAAGCAGATGCATATCCTAGCTTCTCTGATGATCCACGATCTATTATGAACTCAGCAGCACCCACTCCTTGGCTCGTTATCTTCCTCAATTTAAGATTATGATTTTCTGTCACAAAGATAATAATTGCTTCAACAGGTGGTGTAACTGTTCCAACAAATTTTTTAACATACTATCTTTCAAGGAAGATAGTTAAAGGTTGAGTACACATACAAAAACAAATAGGCATGCTTAACATGGTACTATAATGACCGCTAAGTGTGAAAGTCATCACAACCTAGGTTAAATCAACAACCATGCAGTGACATAAGTTGCAGAATCCACAATCGACCAGCCATTTTGTTCTTGGAAGTAATACCTTGCCTCCTAGAAGAATATTTCTCTGAAATTTGGGGGCTGTTTGATCTGTGAGATTTCTTTAAAGAAAAAATCGCAGCCATGGAACTTTTTTCCTCAACTGAAGCTCGAAAACCCAATGATAAAACGATTTCAGGTCGTGACTTCACATAATAGATAATTGAGCAAACTGCCAAAGACAATATTGGAGATGCCAGTAGAAAGTTTGGCAATTGTTTTAATTGGAAGTATCTCAAGAACCCCACTCCCCTGGCATAAAAAATAAAAAATATGAAAAGAAGTAAAATATAAAAGCAAGCGTCTGAAAAGCAATCACATCAAAATACTAATCCTATCAATTTTGAAAGTAAAATACTAGATGCCAAAGATAAAATATTTGTTTACCATAAGCAGGATTATTTAAATTAGCAAATAGAAAACCTGAGAATTATTAACATCTCATGCATGAACAAAATGGAATAAATGGAATACTATGACCAACTGCAAAAGAACTTACCAGTAATAACTTTGAATGTAATTGTATAGCAAAGGTATTCTTGTTTTACACCAAGGCCTCATTTCATCTGAAGAACGTCTGAGACATATATTGTAGTAGCCATATGCTTGAAAAGTAATAAATGGAACAAAAACGCATATACAGCGCAGTGCTCCACTTATAAGAATCCACAATGCCAACTAGCATGGAAATAGAAAATTAATTATGAAACCATCCATTCCCATAAACTAGTTACAACTTTGGAGCAGAATTGTATGCTATACATAAAAAACAAAATTTTTACCAATTTGCTCAATATCAACGAATGAGGGATTAAGTAACTATTATAGCTACTTTGACACTTCTAATATGATCCACGCTCATTGAGGACAAATTAAGGAAACATGTTAGACATGTCAATAGAAGACCTACAAATGCCCTGGTTGGAACATGTAATTAAACAGAAGATATTCATGTCACAAGGACAAGAAGACCAAAGAAAACATCAATGAATACCTAAAATTTCCTCATTTTCACTGTACTTACAATTTGATCTTAAATTACACAGACTAATCCAATATAATACATAGAGTCAATTATAATTAGTGGGAAAAAGATTTATTTTCCTTGATTGTTCATTTGTCTTTTGAGGCACTTTATTTTGCTAAAGACTAAAGCGTGTGAAAAAAAAGTTGGTAACTTCGCAAGCACAAACTCAAAATTTTCTTCTTAATCAGCATACAAAGTCAATATGAGCATGGAGTTAAAATTTAGGGAAGCATATAGAACTGCTAAGAGATGAAGACAGTAGTGTTAAAAGATCAACTTTACAATGAGCAAAAAAAATATTTCTAGTAAATGCATTAAAGGGTTACTATAAATCATCAAAAATAAAACTGTTGGAAGTTAGATTTTAAAAGAGATCCATTTCTAGTAGCTTAAACTTTTGAGATAATCAGTCACGTAACTATCTCATTATTATGGTACTAAAGCTGAGGTCTCAAGTTCGAATCCTATAAACATTAGCCCCTTTTCATTAATTCCTCACCTACTAAGAGGCTTTATGTGCAATGCTTCTTCAGCTCGCACTTTTCTTCTAAACATTCATTCAACTTGCACGTGAGGAGACGTGTTAAAACTTAAATAAGAGTCTGTCTTTGGTCACCTAACTACCTTATTAACAAAGTAGATAACTATCTTATTAACAAAAATAGATAAGAGCTTAATCCCAATCCCAATAGCTGACTACCAGCAAGTATTGTGGTTGTCCAACTTTAACTTCCTGTCATTGAATGATTGAAATGAACATTGCTTGTTTAAGTAGGTTGGTAAATCATTTAGTACTTTTCAATCAATGGACTCATGAAATGTAGAATGTCAACTTCTAGGGCACATATGGCTAGGTTCCTACATGGTCGTGCACATTCAGAATTAAAATAAGAAAAATGATAAAAAAAAAGGCATGTTTGCATAAAAACACAGTGATATATTGACTAAGTGTCAGCTACAGAACCTTTGAATTAAGATGTCAAGGATTAATGTCCCTTCCATTTATTGAAGGTCAATAAATCCAATATTTGATGCTGATTAATAAGTCTAGAAGCAATTGCCATTATGTTGAAAACTATAGTAGTATCAATCTGCAAAATTATCTTATTTTCTCAAAAAGAACTGCACAGTATTATATGAATCTCCAACATCTATGCCTCATCTACACCTATAGTCCGTGTTGAGGACATATTTCTTTCCAAAAAATCAAATGCACTTGTTACACAAAGAGAAAATTGGTAAAATGCATTGATCAAACAGGATAAATGATGGAAGTTCAAATATAGTCCTTTCAACTTTGCTTTAATGAAGAAGCCTTGCAGGAAAATAAGCACTGGCTGCAAACAGAGCATGGTAACCAAAGAAAACACACTTACAAAAGCACGCTTTTTCAGGAATGCAGCATCATAAGCCTGATGCATTGTCTGAAAACCAAAATAACCAGCATTGAGCACTCCATTAGATCTTGCAAAACCAGAAAGAGCAAGCCAAAACACAGCAATATTATTTGCATGAGATTTTAAATAGTACAATCCACCAACTGAAAATAGAGCATATAAGCTCTCTGAATATCTGCAATCACAAACACACAGAAAAGAGAATCCACAATTAAGTTCATCCTTTGAAAATCAATGTAAGAATAAAGAAATAAGAGCTATACATTGATGAGTAAAATATGGAAGCTGGATTGAAGCAAAACAAAACAGAAGCCTGCAGTGCTGCATTAGGGTCCTTCAAAACAATAACCGAAAGCCTGTTAGAGCAAGAAGTGTGAGAACAGCAATCATAAGTTTTAAAGCAAAACATTATCATTCTCTACAAATGTAGAATACAAAGTAACAATAGAAGAAAAAGTAATAACAATTTTGACAACTATCTCTGATCATAAAACAAAGGGCTTAATGCTACAGGAGAAAGTGTAATAATTCATCGATTTTAAGATAAAAATAATAATAGAAAAGCTAGTACTTACACATTACAATAGCTAAATCAAGTAGATACCCATATTTCTCACCATTCCAATTACCAAACATAGATGTACTATTTGATATACACTAAAATTTATTTGATCATAATTGTAATTTTTACTTATAACATATAACCTCATAAAAAAAAAGAAAAAGAGAAAAATGCCAGCTCCACCACTTCAAAGTCACAATTACAGAGGGGAAGTACAAAGCGATCAAAGCAATGCTATTCACGATGGCTTCTATTAATATGTTAGTCAAATCCTCATAAGTCTGCACTATAATTAAAACATTTAAGTGGCCAAAGTTAAAGCTTGGTATGGTCAATGAGAGTTCTCATTGAGGAATAATAGAAATACCATGAATAAGAGCCTTATGGCTAAGCTACAAAATCACAGGGTCCAAGCTCAAACAAGCACAGGCTTTTTGGGTAGAAAATTCTGGCACTTCAATAACAGCAACCATCATCTAGGACAGACTTTTGCTTTCTTAAAATTTGGGTAAAAGAAGTTGCGGCCATGTTATCAAACTATTTATTTTTGTGTAAGTTCCAAAGTCAATTTCCATTAATCTTTCAGGAAAACAACACAACGTTTACATTTATATTACACTAATTCTCACCATTACACAAGAGTCAGAAACTGAGTTCTATAACCACCTACAAATCGCCTGTCTACTCCAATTTGCGAATCTAGAAACACCCAAAAATTTCAAAGATGCAAACGTTAATTATCAGTTACATATTTCTTGATTATAAAGTCAAAAACTATAGAAGATGGTACAGGCACAGACACAATCTAAAATTGCAAATTAAAGTGCTATTATTGTGGCATTAAATCTGACATTTAGTGGAACCTGAGCACTTTGCTCAACGGTAGGTGCGTGTATGACATATCCCTTTGAATCCTCTTTCCCCCAAAATTGTATTTGATAAAAAAATTATTTACTAGTACCTTGCAAACCAATAATAAAATAAAAAGACTACCCAAACATTTTGGGTATCAAATAGCTGGAAAAATTCACCTGTAAAAGTAAATTGCGGCGAAAATAAATGCAACATTGCTAATAACATAACCAGACAATGCCAAAACCGCCCTATGACCAATCAACAAAACCACCGGCGCAAAAACTGCAATGTAACAGAAAATAAATCAAAAAAGAAAGTCAATAATTACACTCCTATTCTTCACATTTGTAATGAATTATCGAACCTGTGCGTGATAAGATAAAAATGCACGCCGGCAATAAGGGCAGAAACGCATAGGACTGCTCGTACTCATACCCGCACTGAGCGATCCGCACGAAGAAAACGCTGTCCCAGACGACGCCGTTTTCGATGGCGGAGGCAAGGGATGGAAGAAGAGGTGGAGGAGAAGGAGGGGAGGGAGAAGGGTTGTTGAGGCAGGCGGGGTTGAGGGGCGCGGAGGTGTCGTATGGAGTGAGAAGCGTCCGCCAGAGGAGGGTTAGGATTAAAAGGAGAAGCCTTGAGAGGATTGCGAACTTCAAGACTTTGGTTTGGTGGGAATTGTTCAGCAGTTGTTCTGATGGGGGTTTGGAGGGTGATGCCATTTTCGCATTTGGAAAGGGACCGAGTGAAGAAATGGGAGAGACCTTGGTTTTGAAGAAAGCACAAATTTTCCTCCAAACTGAGGTCCTACACTCACACAACATAATAAACCCAGGCAACGTTTTTAATTTAACTAATATGAGCATGCCACTAATGATTTCTTTATCCAATTAAAATATATTATGAATTATAATGAATGGATTAATGAATTTTAGTTAGACTGAGATTTTACTAAATACATATATTAATATTAATTAATAACTAATATTTAAACGATATAAGCTCAAAATTATTTTTTTTAATACAACACAAATACTAAAATGATTATTTTGAATTTATTATTGGCAACGGGTGATAGAGTTAATGTATGTCCTATAACAAATCCGTTGGACATAGAGATATATTATTGTTATATTTTACATTACATTTATTAATAAATTCTTTCTTAATCTAAAAGTTCATACATAATTGTTGTTATTTATTTATAAAGATAAATTTCATGGAATAAATATGCTTTGCAAAATGAATTATGAAATGTTATAATTATAAGATCCTTATTCACGTCAAAGCATTATTTCTATATTCTTCTTAATCGATACTTTATCAAGTCAGGATATTGATAATATTGACAAACCTACATATGTTATTTTTAGAAACGTTTGCTCAAAGAGTGAATATCCAATAGAGGGATGAATTTGATACTAAAGATTTTAAAAAATGAAAATTAACTAGGTATAGTCAACTATAGTGAAGTAATAGTCGATCCCTTATTTAAAAAATATTTTCCAAAAATAGATTAAATAAAAACAACTTGAGAAGAATTGTTCAAGAAATCTTTTCAACAAGACATAGACAAGTAGTAAGGGTTGAAAAGATTTAATGAACAAGGAAATCAATATATGAAAAATGAAGATGAAAAAACAAGCAATTAATGAAATGGATTGTCTTGAGATGAGATGTAGTAAAACAAGGATATAATGAGAATGAAGAGACTAAGAAAAAATCAAACTTTTTTCAAAATGAATCTCTTACTTATGTCAAAAACAAAGTAAATGATTTTTCTAAAACAAGTTTTCAAAAATAAATCATAATGCATAAAAATAAATCAAGATACAAGAATTTTATAGTGGTTTGGTTTTCTTAAATGCCTACATTTACTCCCTTGGCTCACCAAAGAATTGCAAATCCACTCAAGAAAATGTAAGTTTTGCAAGATCAAGTATTAAACACTCAAAATGGCTTTTTATAGGAGCAATAATAACCCTTTTCAAATGCTTTTTACCGAAAGCAAGCACAACCCATGGTTTTTAATGGGTCTAACCACAAACATTACAAATGCATTTTACTAGAGCAAGCACAATCTATGATTTTTAATGGGCTTAACCACAAACCCACACTAATTATTCAAGGAAGAGTTAGAACGTTTACAAGGAATAAAAAGAGTGTCTTTAAAAAGTGAATTTTGCTAGTTTGGTACAATGGAGGAAGAATGTCTAACAATAGATAAAAAGATTCAATATAAAGATTGGAGTATAAGCATAAAGAAGGTTTAGCTCAAGTAGGCTTGCTTTTGCTTGGTTTTCTCTCTTTTCTTCTCAAGACCATGGTCTTCAAGAGTTTGGCCCTTTTTCTTTTTTCTTCCTCACCTTGACATGTTTTTAAATGGTCATTTTTATAGTTGAAGAAGTATTGGAGCTGTTGAAGGTGATTAAAGTAGGAAACTAGCTGTTTTCCTTTTGAATTTTATGTCCAACGGTAATCTCTAGTTGAGTACGGAAGTTCTTTAGTTGATCCACTTTCAAAAAGGTTGTATTTTTTACATTAGAGCTTGGAAGGTTGACTATAACTTTGTCAAGGTCGACTATGGCTCCTCAAATCTTTGATTTTTGCATGTATTATGTTTCAAAGTCAATTATAGCTTCGTCAGGGTCGAATATGGCTTTATATCTTCATGATTTTTCATCCATCTTGTCATAGGGTCGATTATGCCTTCTATACTTCACAATTTTTCAACCATTCTTTGACCATTCTACCATTGGATCGACTTGCCTTGCTTTAGGATCAATTCTTGCCATTAGATTTTCAATTCCTTTATCAATTCAGTGTATAACTTTGGCCATATCTTCCTTGTGATCCAATATTGAGTTGAAAATGAGCTTTTTGGCTTGAAACAAACTTGATGTTGTGAAGATCAATGAGCTTCTCATTTTGTGTATCTATCTTGCAACTTAAACATCTCAAGAGTGAACATTAGAAAGATTAAAAACACTTATACAATTAAATCATACAAGCTTGTAACTTCAAGCATTCATGCAATTAAAACAATTAAGCTTATAATCATGTAAGAAAAAGTGTATGCGAGTTAGTCATTTCAAGAACTTGTCAAGGATCACTCTAGTAGAGCAAATGCAAATTTGAATTATTTTGTCATAATCAAAACTACAGTCATTTTCAAGCTAATAGTTATGTTTCAAAATTGCGAAGTAAGCTTTAATCTCATAGGTTGAACTATGAAAATGCTTAAATAAACATGTGGGTGTTTATATATTGTCAGTTAAAATTCTACCACGCAAGTATACGTATCGAATAGATAGTATATTAGCAAGTAGAGTATCGATCCCGCAGGGAATTGATCTAAAAGTTTACTAAGTACTAAAATTATTGCAAATTAATCTTATCCAAACAATATCAAAATAATATCAAATCAAACTAAGTTATAGCAGAATTAAATTAAGAAAAATCAAAATAATAAATACTCAAATAAATATCAAATCAAACAAGCCTAGGATTACAATATCCCTCACACTTCATCTAAATCTTACCTCTCTTCCTTAACTTATCTCAATGGTTTGAATTGCTAACCTAGAGTCCTAAATTATTTATAAGGGTCTCCCAACTCATCTTATAAAAATATCTATTTTAACCAAAATACTATATCCCTATGTGAATTGAAATTAAAACAAACTCATTAAGTTCAGCTCTAATCTGGCTACATATGGCCTATAGGTATATCCCTATCCTATACGCAAATCAATTAATATGATCATATGCTATCCCAATTTTAGTCTACACTAAGCTCCCTTTCCCAAGTTTGTTTAGGTTTCTAGATCAATTTAATTGGTGGCCAAGCAATTAAAAGCATTAAGAACAAATTGGAATAAACAATTCAAATCCCATTGAAAATAAGCAAGAAAGTGATTAAAAATATAGATTACATGTGAGTTCAATTGCAATCCTAGAAAAATAAATTAGCTCATAATATCTAATAAAGACAATATCCAAAGAAATTTAGCCATGAATCCAAGTCAAAGAAAATAAGAAAAAACACAAAGGTAAGAGAGAAAACTAATAATTAGAGATTTATGATCTTGATTCTCTCTCTAATTCTCTTGTTTCCTTGCTTTGTTCTTGGCTCCAAATCTCCAGAATAGTTTCTTGCTGCCTCTCTTGCTGCCTCCAAAATCTCTGAAAAAGTCTCCTTAAATAGGCTCCAAATAACCTAATTTTGCGAAATTCCGTTAATGTCCTTTATTTTTTTAGGGAAGTCGCGCAGCGCTGCGGCGCTACTTCTCCAGCGCTGCAGCGCTGAGCTCTCTGGAATTTTGTATGTGTGCTTCCTTTCATCAACGCTGCAGCCTTGTTCTCCCAGCGCTGTGGCAGTTTATCAACTTCAAACATGAGTTTCACCCTGATATGTTAAGAACTGGGCAAAGTAGTAAACATAAAAGTTTTATCCCTGTCTCTTAACTTTCCAGTGGATTAAAAATTGCATCAATTGGACTTCTGGATTGAAAGATTTGCTCCAAATACTGCATCATGTTCAGTCTTTACATCCTACTGCAGTGGTCCGAATTGACAAATATTTTGACCATGATCCAATCATAACTGGGCCAATTGGTGAACATAAAAATGTTTCCCTTCTTCTTATAATTTGATTGGTCAAAGAATCACCTCATTTGGAGTTTTTTAGAAAGAGATATGGTCAAAATATGAAACATATACGAATGAAGCTATCACCATACTTGCACTGATTTTCATCAAATGAGTCTTTTTCATCAATTTCCTACAAAAGCCATAGGAGAAATTAGCAATAACTACTCTTAAAGTAATTTAAATAAAATAACCTAAAATTTAACTAAAATAACTTAAATTAATCACTTAACAAATAGTCAAACTTAAACTAAAAAAAACACCTATAATGCTAAAATTCGAACATAAAATCTCAAAGATCCAGCTACTTAAGCTCCCAAAATGAGTCAAAATAACTCTATATAATAGAGTTATCATATATGAATAAGTTTACTAAACAGAAGGTTATCTTGTATGTCTAGGGTTATACATTGATATTGTCTTATGTAGTCCCAACCAAAGATGTAAAAATGAAATGCATTTTGGGTATAACATGAAGCATATGGAAATAAATGAACGAAACATATATAGGATTCATCATAGTAAGTGATTTTAAGGGAAATATCCTTGACATGTTTTAACTCAGAAGAAAATCCTTGGCAAAGGTAGAATTAGATTCAAAAATTAGTTTTTAAATTTCATTAAAAGAGATGATTATTAGTTTCAAGAGCTAACATGGTTATATATATATATATATATATAAAGCACACACTGTACCATACTTTATGTCTTGATGGGATATTAGTTAATTAAAAGATTGAATTACACGACAAAACTGTGAATTGAAAGGTTGTGTCAAATCACATTGACTCTTTTTAACATTTAAGTAGTCATGAAACATTTCTAAATGTCAATTAAGATATAAATGTGAATTAATCAATTCAAAGTTGATTATGAATTCAAATGAATTTGATTCATCTAATCCTATTTGGATTATAATTCATATTTTATTGTCAATATGTTAAGAACCTAATGCATCACATCTTTGAGAGTGATTATGTGGAAAATCAAAATAGGGATTTAAGTTAGACTTAATTGTAAAGAAATTTGAAACGCCAAGTATTTAATTGAAAATGTTCAATTAAATTAGAGTAATTTTATAAATAGCATAAAAGTTATGCAAATCCTACTAGGGTTAGGATCAGTGTAATTGCATATAAATAAGAATCTTTAGG